CCGGGAATTGGCACCGCTTAATTTCACGCACCGGGTTAGTTAGTACGATAGGTACCACAAGTGTCAAAAGGATTAACGGTATTTGTCTCTCCATGATTGTTCCAATTATGCGCGTTAGGTCAGCATCACGTGTCCTATTAGCCGCGGTGACCCCATCTGGACTGTTATTTTTACCCCCCCCGCCTTTCTGTTTACAAGCGTGGGAAATACATTAGAATAGGAAAAAGTTTTGTATCATCTGTTAGATAAAGCATTGAAGAGCTCACCCCCTCCCCCTCCCCCTTCCCTTCTTTTTCATCCCTGGCATATTCTAATTGCTGTGTATACACTGATATAGTCATTAGAAAAGCAGAAATGCGTTTTATCAACAAAATTATGTAGGAAAACTACACGGGGTATTACATAATTGGTAGACGAATGTCTTTGTGAGTGTTTTTAACCCCCTCCCCACTTCCCCGATGTATGAAATATTAATTAATTGTTTAGTTCATGGAAGGTATCATTTTCTTCTAAGTCTTCTTAGTTTAAAAAGAAAAAAAAATGTTAAGATTTTAATCCCCGTTCCAGGTCCTCATTTTAAGCAGTTGACCAGTGTGTTGTCGGTTGTATCACATGTCCTTGACATGGATGGAAAATAACAAGTATAGGCCATCAAAATATGCACTCGTGGTAGATTTCCCTAGGTAATATGTCCTCCTGAACCCAACTAAACTATAAATATTTTGTAAAACTCTTTTAATTTATAGTAAAAAATATTGAAATAAAATTAGAACAGCTACAGATCCATGGATAAAAACCACTGAAGTTCTTGGATTTTCTTATTAATAGGTACAATAAATGTAGCTTCTTTCTGATTTATTTCTTAATTTTAGAATTAGAAATAAGATCTTATTGATGTGGGTCTTATCAAAGTTTATATAGGTGGGGGAAAAAAGTGGATACATAAGATAACAGGTACACGTGATTATAATAGCGCTCATTTTCAAAGTGTGTTTACGACCTTGTAAAAAAAATGCGCGGGTAAATAACACGTGTTGTGCTTGCAATCGGTAATAAATAATACATCTGGTAAAAAAAAAATATGGATAAATTTAATAAAATTATAGATGTTAACATTATAGTTAATATAAAAACCTATTATTTTTATTAAAATAATGACGTTTAAGAGCGTGAAAAATAAATGTACATGTACATTTGTAAAAAAAAAATGAGTAAATTTAATAAATTTATAGATGTTAACATTATAGTTAATATAAAACCCTATTATTTTTATTAAAATAATGACGTTTAAGAGCGTGAAAAAAAATGTACATGTCATAGAAACTGAATTATTTTTACAAAAGTTTGTATAGGTGGAAAAGTGTGTACATAAGATAACAGGTACACGTGATTATAATAGCGCTCATTTTCAAAGTGTGTTTAGGACTTTGTAAAAAAAATGCGCGGGTAAAAAACACGTGTTGCACTTGCATTGGAACTGGGTTTAGGACCTTGTAATAAAAAGCGCGGGTATACAACACGTGTTGTGTTTGTATTTGGTAATAAATAAAATGAGCAAATTTAATAAAATTATAGATGTTGTTAACATTATAGTTAGTATAAAAACCCTATTATTTTTATTAAAATAATGACGTTTAAGAGCGTAAAATAGATGTACTTGTCACAGAGATTAAAGCATTTTTATTATGAAAGGAGTATGATGGTAGGAATTAATAGGTTTTTTTTTCTTTTAGGGGGTTATTCATATGAATTATGCATAGGTTGATTATTTTTTTTGCACTGAGATAAAATGTATTATTTTAAAATCCTTGACTCCAAAGGTATTAAGGATGGTACATATAGATGATAAAGAATCTCTTACGGGTCTGAGGTGAATTTTAAAATTCCAAAAATATTAGCACGTGGCTGTTTTTTCACGTTTCTTTGGAGACCTTGACCAGATTAAGAAAGGGGTATAAATATAAGGATTCACTTCCTTTCACCACGATTTGCTTTAAAATCTGGATCTTTGGAAGAAAAATGGCGGAAAAATTGTTGGAGAACTTGTAAGTGTATATAATTATCTTAAGTTCTCTGATTGTTTTGTAAGCTTTTCTTTTGTATATAGGAAATAACATTACTATGTTTTAAATTAGAATTTTTTTAAAAAACTCTCTCTCTCTCTCTCTCTCTCTTTTTGAAAAAAAAGAGTTGTTTATGTTCATAAACAAAATAAAGTTTTAAAAAATATCTTTTCTCTTTTTAGGGATGAGATTTCTAGAAATAGACCCTTTGAGGATTTTGAAAAGCAATGGTTGATGAAGGGGGAGGAATTAAGTGTAAATTACAAGGACACATCGTAAGTATTTCAATTGTTTCAATATATAAATACACCGTAAATGTTAAAGAAAACCAGATAGAGAATGTTGTTTTTTATTAACAGTGTATTATTTTTTTATTGTATTTATTATTTTTCTTTTCTTTAATTAGATTCCCTCTAAACAGCAGGAAAAGAAAATTGGAGCAACTAGAAGACTCGATTATAGTAGCAAAAAGGTATATATATTAAAAAACAAATTTGTCTTATATTCCAGAAAGTTATATGGATTGTAGAGACACTGTTATTTTTTCGTGTAAAATTGTATTAGAATTGTTCGTAAAGTTGTTTTAGGTTGTATTTTCTATCTTTTAAAAAACAAAATGTTATATATAGATAAAAGTGTTTTTTTCTTCTCTTTTTTAATCACAATTATAATTTTTTTTTTCAGAAGGAAGTTAAATGATGAGGAGGAAAAAGAACAAGCCATATTGGACAAGATTAGGAGAGAAAATCCAGAGAGATTTAACAGGCTGGAAAACAAAATTTTAATTAAAACTAACGTGGATAATTCGGGGCACACCAAAAGAAGAATTCTTTTATCCAAACCAGTTAAGGAGGAACCGAAGTATTCATCGCCATTATCTTCCCCTACACCATCCTTTCAGTCTTGGATGGATGCGGTAGTATCCGATATAACACCGTCTGTGTTCAACGCGTCACCACCTGCGCTCAATATGGGGTTATTTGAAGATTTACAGGGATCGTCATTGAGGCCAGAGAGTGATTTTGATTTGGGTTCAAATACATTAGAAAATACCAATCAGTACCCTCTTATGGAGGAAATCTCTGCCCTGAATGAGCTTGTAAATTCTATTCAAGTGGATTTACAACAAAGTGCTATGCTGGTGGATTATATAAAAAACTATCTAAAGAAACAAGAGTTGGTTTAAGATTCTCCATTTTTCTTTTTAAGGAACTTTTTTTGTTTTTTTTTAGTAAGGTGTGTAAAGTAGGATTGTCATTTTCATTTTTACATTGTGATATCATATAGCTATAAGAATTGTAATGTAAAATTAAAATTACCCTTTTAAAAATATCTGTTGTGTTAGTACTTACTTTATGTTAGGGACTGACTGAATTGATGAAGTTATTCATCGGGTTCTGGTTTTAGCTGCTTTAAGGTTTTTGTGTTTTACAAGTTATGATTACATGGTATATATATTACGGAGGAGAGGGTGGAGCCAATGTTTTTTAAAGTCACGTTGCAATGTTGATGCTTCAACACGTGACCGAAATGACTGTGACCTCTTTGTTGACCTAAAGTGACTGTTACCTCTTTCTTTGTTGACCTAGAGTTGTCATGTTGATGCGACTGTGACATCGATGTTTCAACACGTGACCGAAATGACTGTGACCTCTTGGTTGACCTAATGTCACTGTGACATCGATGTTTCAACACGTGACCGAAATGACTGTGACCTCTTGGTTGACCTAAAGTGACTGTGACCTCTTTGTTGACCTTTGATTGACCTATGACGTCAGTGACTGTGACCTTTTTATTGACCTATGATGTCATTGATTGTGACTGTCCAGTAACCCATAACTACTCCAGATATTCTTTAAAGAAAATAGGGATAAGATAAGAGACAAGGCATTGTTTATCCCTATTACGAGAATATGAGGACATCATTACAGAAAATAACGGAAGACTGAGACGATCTCCACTAGCTCTCTAGATCCATCACTGCAGTGCATTCAGCCCAGGTATGTATGCACATGTATGTACAATGTGTAGATATGCTTTTGTTAACATCGAATAAAAAACGATCGCGAGTGTGTACGTGTTTATTTAGATGCATTATCACAGTCAGTGAAAAACTAATGCAGTGCAGTGTGTGTCGCCCCCCCCCCCCTTTCCAACAGCCCACATAAATTTGATCCCTTTTTTTACTAGAAATTTAAAAATGTAATTGTACTAAATATAGAGTCGATTAGCTTATTTTCTTTGAAACAGCATGTTTAATAAGGGAGTTCAACAGAAATACAAACTTAAACTAAATTAAATTTGAAATTGCATTGTTGCAGTCAATGAGTTGACAATGATTTACTGAACATGTAATGTTGTCTTTTTGGCATACAAACATGCTACATAATGTAAACAAAATTATCTGTATCATTATGTTGAAAACAAAGAACCTCCACTTTTGATCTATGGTTTTAAATTGATAGAATTTCTAAATTAATGGGGAATAAAATATTTTTTTTTTAGTTTGATTTCATGTCAAGTCAATTAATTTCTGTAATTTATTCATAATTATTTTTTTACTTATATGATATATAATACTTTTATTATTGTAGCAGTCAAGAGTTCCAGGCTTGAAGAATAAATAAATACAAAATGCACCCATTTCTCCACAGGTTATGTACACTTATAAAGCATTTCACATTTTTTAAAACCATGCATGTGTGCATGATTATATTAATTTTTCATTTTGTAAAGATGAAAGAATGTTTTTTCATATTCTAATTATTTGCTCTTGTAAATGTCAGAGGTTTTAATTTCCCAGAAAAGTTTTGTAATACAACTTTGTTTCCACTTATCTTTTAATATGAATTTCATAAATTCACTATGTACAGCATACAGTATATCATAAGTTTTGTCAAATGTAATGTGATTTTATTATACAAAGTATTTTATTTAGTAATCTCATAGCAATAGTATATATAATGTGTTGCAGCTATTCCTAAAGAATTGGACCAATGGATACATTCAGGCAGCAAGTTAATCCATCATGTAAGGAAAATGGTATGCTCCATATTAGCTATAAACCAAATTACCATGCAAAATTCCTGGCAAACAATAAAATATTTACAGTAGAATTGCAAATATTTAATTATGCATCCAATGTTTGTGCATGTTTCCATGCATTGTTCTGAATTTAATTCAATTTTAAACACCAATTTACTCTCAATAATGGTATGTTACTACAAGTATGTCCTGATTTTCTCATACATGTATTTTCAGAATTGATTTCATCCACAAGAACATGAAGTGATGGAAATGATTTGCAGCTGCTCAGTATTCCTTGTACAGTTTACCATAATTTGAAAAGCTGTTTATGAAATAAAATTTCTTCATAAAAATTGATTTGACTTTTTCATATACATGTACTTACTGTGCAGGTGTTGAAAAGGCTATTAAGATTTGATAATCTTGACTTGCATATATTTGTGTGGTGGGTGTCAATGTCCATCAAGTTTTTATTTCCAGCATGTACATTGTGTTAATTTGTTTTTCTTAATAATAGTAACTGAAAAGGAGATTAAAGGCTCCCCTAATTGATTCAAAACAGGAAAGGGGACCACCATTTTATTCTGAAGGGAGGGGGGGGGGGTGGCAAGATTTCCCAGGTCATTATTTTTTTTTCTTATATCTTTTCATGTCAATGAAGGACAGGTCTACTAATATTTATTTCCAATAAGATGAAGGACAGATTATTTATTTTTCTCTTAACTGAAAAATGTCTGACAAGCTAAAAAAAATAATTTATAGGAGGGGGGAACACTGGTCTGGGGCAGATTATTTATTTTTTATCCAGCGTGGTCATATTTATTTTCAACATTTTTGAGATCTACCCTCCCCCCCCTCTTTTGGAAAAAAAATGGTAGTCCCTTTAACAAATACAGGAATATTTATGATTTCCACTAAGTCTTTCTTCTTAAAATGTACAACTTAAATCCCATAGGAATGAAGGTTTGAAAGAAAGCCATGATAGAATCTTGTATGCGGAAAAAAATATTTGTACACAAGTGTACATGTATGTACAGCAGTGACAGAAAGGTATAAATTTATCGAATCAATTATTGATGGAGGCTTTCAATTGACTATTTTAATTGAATATTCCGATTTTTATTAACAATCGGCGTTTTAAATTACATGCTGCGGCAAACGTTACACGTACATGCATATGTGTTTACACATATTCGAGGAAATGCGGAAGGACTGAAAGACATAATTCATACATGGTATAGAGAACGAAGTCACAATATCGAAAGTAATATCCAGTGTTTTATGCATACTGTTCGATTAAGTAAAAAGATCCCAGCGCAGTCTGCAAGTATAGGCCTATAGTTAAAATCTACGAGGTAAACAAACTTTATCAAGTACTAAAGAGTTACAGTACAGCTCACGAGTTTTCCGCATAAAACACGGGGCACCGTGGACCGAGAACCCACGCTTTAGCGTGGGCCTTGAAAATAGTCGGCACCTTTGAAGTAGCGGTTTCAGCGCTCCGTGTAGCACGGTGTGTCCACGGTGCACCACGGTGTGTCCACAGAGTGTTGCGGTGTGTCTCCACCGTGTCGCACGGAGTTTATGACCAAGAAATCTTACTATTTTTTAAACTCACGAACATGTGTTACAAATTATAGTTTTATTTTAATATCCGATGTCAGCTAGCTTTGCGTGGCTTTTTTTTTCCCTTGACGTCATTCCATTTTCCTCGCCTTAAAGTAATAAATAAATCGCCTAGCAGTGTCAAGACTGAATAATCCTATTTTTGCAACTCATTTTCAGATGCTTTTAATGCATCCAAAGTATGTTTTCGTGACAGGAAATCGCTTCAAACTTGAACGCACACAGCCAACTGGTCAGGTAACATGCCTTAGGCTGTTTATGGATTATAGTGAAGTCTGAGTCTATTAAATAAATATATTACGTGAACACATCATTGTATTGCATTGATTATGCAAAAGGTGGTCTATAATAAAGTAGTTTAAATCAAGATCATTTTATATTCGATGATAAAAGTTAAAAAAAAAAAGTTAAAACAAATGTTAATTTTTTCTGTTTTATCTTTGTTTCTGTTTTTTATGTGTATGTAAGGGTGTGTGTGTGTGTGAGTGTAAGATTATTTTTTTCAAATTAATTTTTTTTTGATACCTCCCCCCTAATTACTTCTGAAGTATACAAACACAAATCTGGAAAATATCCATACCCAAAACCAATAATAATTCTTGCGTATGTAATTCCTAGAATCACATATTTAATCTCTTACACTGTTACTGTCCGCATTATTCTTTTGAAATAATGTACATCTTTTAGCTGATTCTCGAATCTGGATTTTCTGGAACCCCACCTGAAAGTGTTATTTTAATTCAAATATATGTAAAACTATGACCTTTTATATAATCATCATTTGTCTAATGCATACTCCTGAAACAAAACTTTGATAGAAATTAATATCAATGTTCTTTCCAATTAGAGTATCGGTAGACGTTCACATGGATCTAGTTTCTTTTCAAATTAAAATGGGGGGGGGGGGGGGGGTACGTGCGAATTAAATGTAGAACGATGAACACGTCCTTATTTATTTTACTTAAGTAGAACACACAATTTATACTGTCGTGTTTAGTTTGTACTCATTTTTATCTGTTCATGAAAAAAATTAATAAATTTAATTAAACATAATAAATTAACTTAATAAATCGACATTTCATAGCTTTGTTCGGTATCGAAACCAGTATCATGATTTTACAGTAACACTGTGCTTCTTATTCGTCAAAAATTATTCAAGTCGTTTAGCTGGTATCCAGCCGAACTACATAATCATTCAACATACAATCGTAAACTTGGTGAAGCACCTGTGTTTAAAAGAAATTGTCTGAGGCGATCCGAGTGTGTACGGTAGCGGGTAAAGAGGACAATAGGTGTCACTGCAGCATTACACAGAAGACCATTCGCCGGATTTCACTGGAAGTTAGTTACGCAACATTACGGCGACAGGTAGACTCTTCTTCAAGACAGACTGAATTTGAGAAATTCAACACCAACACATCCGTAATATGCAATCTACAAACCTTCAACTTCTTCTTACATTAAATAAATATATTTTTTTAATATACCGACGTAAGAAAAAATTAACTATTAATGAAAAAAGAAGATTGATGTAAAAACCAACCGGGGAAAGGCACAAATTGTTTAAAGATGTAAGCAAAAATAAATATGAGAAGGGATACATTACATCCAAAGTTTTGTAAAAATTACTGATTCCTTATATTTTTTGTCAAGTCGTGATAGTGTGTGTGTGGTGGGACAGTTGAGTGAGGAACTTGTTTGATTATCAAATCAAGTAAAAAATATTTCATAGTTTATTTCCTCAACTTTTTATCAATAATTAAGAATAAAAATCAAACAAAATTTATATGCAGAATATTATGACAGTAAAAAACCAGAAGTCTCTGTCGAGACTGTAGCTCTACTGGTTTGTACTGATCAAAAACCGATGCACAGAATTATGTATCTTAGTGTAGTCTACTTGTGTGATAAGTTATATTGAAATCAGACCAAAACTGTAGAAGGAGTAGCATTTTAAAGGAATTCCACAGAAAATTCTACTTTTAGTAACCATGGCAACACCACTCATCGAAATCAAAAACCGATGCACTATTCTATGTATCTTAGTGTAGTCTACTTGTGTGCCAAGTGATATTGAAATGAGACTAAAACTGTAGAAGGAGTAGCGTTTTAAAAAATTTCTCAGAAAATTCAATTTTTAGTAACCATGGCAACATCGTTCATCGAAATCAAAAACCGATGCATTATTTTATGTATCTTAGTGTAGTCTACTTGTGTGCCAAGTAATATTGAAATCAGACCAAAACTTTAGAAGGCGTAGCGTTTTAAAGGAATTCCTCAGAAAATTCTATTTTTAGTAACCATTGCAACACCGCTCATCGAAATCAAAAACTGATGCACTATTCTATGTATCTTAGTGTAGTCTACTTGTATGCCAAGTGATATTGAAATGAGACTTAAACTGTAGAAGGAGTTGCGTTTTAAAGGAATTTCACAGAAAATTCTATTTTTAGTAACCATGGCAACATCGTTCATCGAAATCAAAAACCGATGCACTATTTTATGTATCTTAGTGTAGTCTACTTGTGTGCCAAGTTATACTGAAATCAGACCAAAACTGCAGAAGGAGTAGTGTTTTAAAGGAATTTCTCAGAAAATTCTATTTTTAGTAACCATGGCATCACCGTTCATCGAAATCAAAAACCGATGCACTATTTTATGTATCTTAGTGTAGTCTACTTGTGTGCCAAGTTATATTGAAATCAGACCAAAACTGTAGAAGGAGTAGAGTTTTAAAGGAATTACTCAGAAAATTCTATATTTAGTAACCATGGCAACATCGTTCATCGAAATCAAAAACCGATGCACTATTTTATGTATCTTAGTGTAGTCAACTTGTGTGCCAAATTATATTGAAATCAGACTAAAATTGTAGGAGGAGTAGCGTTTTGAAAAATTGTTTACAGACAGACAGACAGACAGACGGACGGACGCCGGACGCATTACTATCACATAAGCTCTTCTGGTCTCTGACCAGTAGAGCTAAAAATAAAATAAATAAAAAATAAACTTTAAGGTGCTTTGGGAAAATGCAATGCATTGCTATGAAAAAAAAAATGCTGAACTAAAATTAAAAAAAAAACTTGCACAAACTCAACAAGGCAACATAACTCAGTCATACATGTAAACACTGTCAATAAATGTAATTCACAATAAAATCCAATGAAAAAGATTTCACAAAGGGAAAAAAAATCTTTGAAAGATGGAAGGTTTAGAACCACAGTTCATCAAAAATGAAACATATTGAAACACAATTAATGCCTTGTTACTCTACGGTACATAGATTAGAAAAATTATATTATACATGACTTGCATGTTAATAAATGGTAATACATGTAGATAAATAGAAAGACTATGTGGGGTAGGGTTTTGGTATGATTAACATGGGATACCCTTGAACCGCATTGTTTTGAACATTCGAATATCTCACAGGTTTTTGTTCATCTCACTGAGATTGAGATATTGAGGCTTATAATTATAAATATGAGCCCATCAGCACTTGAGATAAGGACCCATTTTTCGCACTAAAGATTATTAGAATGAAAGGAAATTTATATAAGAAATTATAAGGAAAATTCTTCCAAAAGAAATTTTAATAGTGGGGTAAAAATGCTGCATTTAAATGTAAATGTACAACCTTATCTTAAGAAATAAAAACATGAGCACACTTTTTTTCTTCATAAAGTTGCCATCAAATAACAGTTCAAAACCTCTTCCATAAAATTATATCCGTCATTCAGATCAGCTCTAAACAATAACACATTGCCAATGTTTATAAACACACATATTAATTAAATTAGTCTAAGATGAATATTTTGCTAGACAACATTACTATCCCCTGCCTCTGGTGATGCCGATTTTCGATGGACCAGTTCCATGCTTCCCATTTCGTTTGTTTTATATCGCTGATTTTCATCCTCGATGATTTTCTCGATCTCTCCCTCCGTAATGGGTTCCCCTTTAGCTCGGAGGAGCTCCGTCTTGATGATGATTTCATTACTCATGTACGCTTCCCTGCGAATGTGTAACTTGAGTTTCTCTGGGACGTCTGGTATTAACCAAGCTATCAGGCCAGTTATTACCACGATAACATTCTGAAGGAAAAGAAATTAAATATAAATCAAGCATAAATTCATGTTGTTCCTCTGTAGACTTTAACTTTTGTTATCTACAATCAAACTTCATAAGATAGTAAATACAGTAAAACTTGTCTAATCCCAAAACATCTAGTTCCAAAGAAATTGGCCAGATTAGACAACAAAATAGAATTTACTGAAAGGGACTTGAATTTCACATCATAATAGACATGATTTTGATTATCCAACATCCAGTTTAGACAAGCTTCACTGTACAATGGAATAAAAATTTAATTTTAGAGTACAAAATTTCATGAAACTACATTATTGATTACTGCATGCAGGGAAATTTTTGCCCCTGTTTTGTCTTTGCCTTTTTCGTCCTACTCTCACTTTGCGAATATAAAACAGGGCGAATTCAAAGAATGCAGTATATTTTCTTAAATAAAACTATGCTTGGTTGAATTTAAAGGGGCAAAATTGTCTGCAAGTGTGAAAGGGTGAAAATTACGCGGGGTCACAGGGTAAAAATAACCTTATATACAGTATTATTCAAAGTACTGTTGTACATGCATCACCATTGCATTGATAATTTAAATACCTGTTTTGTGTACGTACCTCAAATGCCACAACAAAAGCGAACCTTGCAGCCAGGATATGCCAGTACAACTGTGAGTATTCATAAGGTTTATCAGCATCAGGGGGATTCCGAAAATCTCTGTAGCTGTAAATTTAAAGACCAAAGCAAGTTACTTCCCTTTGATCAGCTGTTTTTAAATTAATCTCACAAATGTAAAGCTTAATGCGGTATCAACATGCAGTATAAACTAATCACAATTTCTTGTTTTCAAGTCTAGAGCAAATGCAATTACTGAAATAGTCTCTTTTGAGAAAATGCCTCTTATTCATCAGTTAATATTTATTTTCATTCTATAAAAACAAGGGCCTATTGACCAAACCTTCCGAAAAGCAAATATAGAGGACAAAAAAAAGATGAAAAGAAAAGAAATACCATCTGGTAGCAATAAATTTTCATGAAGAAACAAGACTAATAGTAATGAGAGACTTACAAGCAAGTTTCAACATTTTCACTGCCAGGAAAGGCTGGGCGATGAGATTCGCTAAAATCTGAGGTGTTGAATACGGAAAGTGTTTGACTTATGTAGCCCTCCAGACCACCCGTTTTGCTGTACGATGTCTCGTACACAAGACGAGGGATGAAATCAGACGTCAAGGCAATGATGAAAGCCTATTGGACATAAAAACAATATTTTAAATGGGATACAAAAAAGTAATAAAAATTTACATATATAAAGCCAATAAAATAAATTTTGTAGAGTAAAAATATGCCATGAAAAACCAGAAGTCTCTGTCAAGACTGAAGCTCTACTGGTTTGTACTTATAGCAAAGGAAGAGAAAAGTTCTTAAGCAGTTGGGAATTGAAACTTTACCACAGCAATAAAAAGAATAATGATCCTTGATTAAGTCTCTTTATGTTCTTAGTATAGTCTATTTGCATGCCACATTATATTATAATCAGACTTAATCTGCAGGAGGAGTAGTATTTTGAGAGTTTTAACAGAAATTTCTATTTTTAGTTACCATGGCAACACCGTTCATCGAAATCAAAAACCGATATATAGAATTATGAATCTTAGTGAAGTCTACTTGTGTGCCAAGTTATATTGAAATCAGACCAAAACTGTAGGAGGAATAGCATTTTGAAAGAATTTCACAGAAATTTCTATTTTTAGTAACAACGGCAACACCGTTCACCGAAATCAAAAACTGATACACAGAATCATGTATCTTAGTGTAGTCTACTTGTATGCCAAGTTATATTGAAATCAGACCAAAACTGTAGGAGGAGTAGCATTTTGAAAGAATTTCATAGAAATTTCTATTTTTAGTAACCACGGCAACACCGTTCATCGAAATCAAAAACCGATACACAGAATTATGTATCTTAGTGTAGTCTACTTGTGTGCTAAGTTATATTGAAATCAGACCAAAAATGTAGAAGGAGTAGTATTTTGAAATAATTTCACAGAAATTTCTATTTTTAGTAACAAAGGCAACACCGTTCATCGAAATCAAAAACCGATACATAGAATTATGTATCTTAGTGAAGTCTACTTGTGTGCCAAGTTATATTGAAATCAGACCAAAACTGTACGAGGAGTAGCATTTTGAAAGAATTTCACTGAAATTTCTATTTTTAGTAACAAAGGCAACACCGTTCATCGAAATCAAAAACTGATACACAGAATTATGTATCTTAGTGTAGTCTACTTGTATGCCAAGTTATATTGAAATCAGACCAAAACTGTAGGAGGAGTAGCATTTTGAAAGAATTTCATAGAAATTTCTATTTTTAGTAACCACGGCAACACCGTTCATCGAAATCAAAAACCGATACACAGAATTATGTATCTTAGTGTAGTCTACTTGTGTGCCAAGTTATATTGAAATCAGACCAAAACTGTAGGAGGAGTAGCATTTTGAAAGAATTTCACAGAAATTTCTATTTTTAGCAACAATGGCAACACCGTTCATCGAAATCAAAAACCGATACACAGAATTATGTATCTTAGTGTAGTCTACTTGTGTGCCAAGTTATATTGAAATCAGACCAAAACTGTAGGAGGAGTAGCATTTTGAAAGAATTTCACAGAAATTTCTATTTTTAGCAACAACGGCAACACCGTTAATCGAAATCAAAAACCGATACACAGAATTATGTATCTTAGTGTAGTCTACTTGTGTGCCAAGTTATATTGAAATCAGACCAAAACTGTAGGAAGAGTAGCATTTTGAAAGATTGTTTACAGACAGACAGACAGACAGACGGACGGACGACGGACGCATTACTATCGCATAAGCTCTTCTGGTCTCTGACCAGTAGAGCTAAAAATGATGTAATTTTGTTTTGAAAAAAACTTACATTTGAAATAATGGCTATCCTAGAAATGCCATATAAAACACTGTACCAGATGCCTGTAAAAGAGAAAGAGAAACATACAGTGTACATATAACATTGCACAATTGCCATGCTGCAGATAATTTTTTTATACCAAATACATGATGCTCAAAAATTTATTGTTATTGTCCACATAAAGATGTCCAACAATTATCTCAGACTTAAAATTCATGCATCTCAGTGATTAGTTTTTTTTTATCACAAAGCTTCCATATGATAAATAGACTGTAAACAGATTTACATGTAACAATCTTGAATATGCTTATAAACTGCAATGTATACTACATGTAGCAGTATATTCTTTCAATTTTATATTCCAAATTGACCAATACAGCTACAAGTATAAAATTTCACTGGGTATCCAATTTCAGTCCTCGTTTACCATTCATTTACATGTAATGTTACTTATGTCTGGAATCCTCTCTGCTATTGGCCTCCTAAGCTGTGTTGTGAACTTGACGGCATCAAATCGGATCTCCAGTATGTTGTTAATCAGGGCAAAGAGAGGTCCCAGTGGGAAGGCCGCCACAAAGAGGGTCAAAAACCCAAACTGCAGTACTGAAATATATTAAAACCAGAAGTCTCTGTCGAGACTGAAGCTCTACTGGTTTGTACTTATTATATAGCAAAGGAAGAGAAAAGTACTTAATAAGCAGTTGGGAATTGAAACTTTACAACAGCAATAAATAGGATAATATGATCCTTGATTAAGTCTCATTATGTTCTTAGTGTAGTATACTTGCATGCCACATTATATTATAATCAGACTAAAACTGTATTTGGAGTAGCATTTTGAGAGTATATAACAGAAATTTCTATTTTTAGTAACTGTGGCAACACCGTTCATTGTAGTAAAAAACCAATACACAGAATTATGTACCTTATTGTAGTCTACTTGTGTGCCAAGTTACATTGAAATCACACCAAAACTGTAGGAGGAGTAGCATTTTGAAAGAATTTCACAGAAATTTCTATATTTAGTAACCACAGCAACACCTTTCATCAAAATCAAAAACCAATAAATAGAATTATGTATCTTAGTGTAGTCTACTTTTCTGCCAAGTTATATTGAAATCAGACCAACACTGTAGGAGGAGTAGCATTTTGAAAGAATTTCACAGAAATTTCTATTTTTAGTAACCACGGCAACACCGTTCATCAAAATCAAAAACCGATATACAGAATTATGTATCTTAATGTAGTCTACTTGTGTGCCAAGTTATATTGAAATCAGACCAAAACTGTAGGAGGAGTAGCATTTTGAAAGAATTTTACAGAAATTTCTATTTTTAGTAACCACGGCAACACCGATCATCCAAATCAAAAACCGATACACAGAATTATGTACTTTAGTGTAGTCTACTTGTGTGCCAAGTTATATTGAAATCAGACCAAAACTGTAGGAGGAGTAGCATTTTGAAAGAATTTTACAGAAATTTCTATTTTTAGTAACCATGGCAACACCGTACATCGAAATCAAAAACCGATACACAGAATTATGTATCTTAGTGTAGTCTACTTGTGTGCCAAGTTATATTGAAATCAGACCAAAACTGTAGGAGGAGTAGCATTTTGAAAAATTGTTTACAGACAGACAGACGGACAGACAGACAGACAGACAGACAGACGGACGGACGACGGACGCATTACCATCGCATAAGCTCTTCTGGTCTCTGACCAGTAGAGCTAAAAAACAGCTGGAGTTTAAATATATTTTAAACTTTGCCTTGGTCGATATTGATTTTTTGGAGAGAGAGAGAGAGAAGAGAGAAAAAGAAAGAGAGGAGTGAGCGAAAGAGAGAGATGAATGGTTACTCAACACGGAAGATAATGGGCACCTACAGTTAGCGAATAATCTTACTCTTATGAAAAGGAAAGATGTTAATGAAACATAAATCAAATTAATAATGATTACGGGTATAAATTGATCAAATGGACAAAGAAATTTGCATCATTCACAAAACTTGCACATTTTTATAAAATTCATATTTAAGTACCGGTGTACTATATACTTTTTCGTGTAACGTGTGTGTAAGGGGGGGGGGGGTTATACATGTATGCTAGAGGGTTCGGAATAAATATTTTTGAGCACTGGTTCGACTGACTAATGACTTCCAATTTCACTACTTCGTAAAATAATTTACCAGACAAGTCCACCCTCTACCTTTTTATTACGTTAACATCATAACACCCCCTACGCCTACCTCCTTTAATGAGATGAAATTTAATTTCAGCACATAAAATTAAATTAATTCCAATTCACCGATAGCTACAGGAGGAAATTGGAAGTTATGAAACATGTTATATTTTTGTTAAAATTGAATCATGATTAAAAAAATACTTTAAAATTAAGTTCAAAAACTAATAAATAGTGATCCAACCCCCTCGGCAAATTGAATGTGAATTTAAGAGAGAGAGAGAGAGAAGAAAAATATTGGAGAAAAATGGTGCTACTGCTAATATTAGTCTTACCGCTGACCTAGTAAATATAAATATTTTACTTAAGATTACTATAATTGCTATAGTGCATGAATTTTTATTACTAGTCTGATATTTATTTATTAGTCTCGGACTTACAGATATCGAGTACTTATGAACCCTGCGTCATCGATCAACCAACCATTCATTTAGATATAATGTTTTAAGTGACAAAATTAACAAGGCATAGTACAAGTTTAGATATTGAGCACTGCACTGTTCAATAGGGGAACTCCAGTATGAGCAAATGAAACCGGAAATCTTAAACAGGGGTAACAGGGGTAGCGGACAGTATATAGGGAACTTATATATAGTGAGCTAGCTTTTCTGGTGATGCGGTAGAGTCTCCCTCTATTTCAGGCAAGTTAAGCAACGGCAAGCCTGTTTAACCCTTGGATGGGTGACAGCTTCACGTAACATTAATTATATGACTTGTACAGATATGATTAATTAATTTTAATTCTTTAATTGAACCGGGATAGATATATTCAACACATAAATTTAAACTTGATTTACGCATAGTTAATTTCAATTCATATTCTGAATTATTTTAAAGATAATACTAATACTATGCCAGGGATTTTTTTTTCAAGCATTAAAATAAGACTGTTTTTAAATACAAAGTATAACACATAGTCATTTTCACACCACTGCAACCTCCCCGAGAGCGAAAACAATAGGGACAGTAATTATCAAAAAAGTACATTTCCAAACATGAAAATTCTGCTTTTATTTCTGAAGGGGGGGGGGGGGCTAAACCTACGAAGCAATATTCAATGTCTCTTCTAAGTATATATTTGGGAAAAAAGTGGGGGGACCCCCCCCCCCCCCCCGTGGGTCCCCCCCCCCCCCGTTTCCGACGCCTATGTCATATTTTCATAATCGACAAAAAAAAAAACTTGCAACTAATGCATGGTCAAACACTGATTCACAACCAACGAATACTCAGTGAGATATTTTAGTAGTAATGTTTTAATATTTTCCTGCGTAAGGTGTTTATTAAATACATGTATACAGCATAGGTGTCGGGACCTGGGGCTAAGAGTGGGAAGGTCATGGCCAAGAGGAAATAACAGTATTCCTTTTGTGGTCTTAGATTTTTTGCGTTTATTCCTTGTTTATGTGGACTTTTTGTATGTAGATTATGATTATTTACTTCAATGTATTTTTCACATTACTTTTTGGGGAAAACTGCGTAAAATTTGATAATTCCATCGCGACCAAGTAGCAAAGCAGCGTGGCATGTGCATCTACACTCGTCAGACTTCTATAGCATAATACATTTATTTAATATTTGTTAAGATGGGTTGTATAGGGAGTAACGTTGATGAACGGGATATATGGTGGACAATGCCTTTCTACAAGAAGTGTTCAGATCCATGACCGATATATATACCTCAGTTGATTGACAGGTGGAGCACGTGGATGTAAATTAAGAAATTGGAAATTTAATTGTTTCGGGTTTTCAAGGTTAATTTTCACGATTTTGTTATCTGTTCAGAAATCCAGTTTTTACCGGTGAAGTAGTGTTCTACAGAAATCATTTAATAAATCTTGTTAAATTACACGTAAAATCGAACAAAATATGTAAATCGAATTTTCTTGATAGTGATAAATTAATAGTGAAGAATTACAAGTACGTTTAATTACATTAAAAAAATTTACCGGCAGACCGTGTATGTTCTTAACTGTAAATAAGCATTATTTTTTCACAATTCAAAAAGAATTGTTTCTACATATCTTGAACTAAGTATCGAAAATACAATCTGTTTATAATCTAAATATTTTTTAAGTTGCTGCAGCATGTATCGTTTACTCATTATTTGGTTTTTTTATGAATGAAAAGCAGTACATGTTGATGTCAATTCGACAACCATTGTGTTTTTATTACACACAGGCCAAAGACACTCGTTTTAAAAAGGTCATTATAAATCTCTGCATAGTGAAAGAGTTATTGCCACGATAAAATTATTTGAGAAAATTATTTTGAGAACTCTGAAGATTTAATAGCGTTTTCATATTTCAGGCAAACGGACTACTATTTAATCTTGAAAAAAAAAAATAGGAAACTAAAGGTTTGTTTCATTAAATAGACTTAAAAGCAGAATTGCAACATCGTTACCTATTCCTTCATCTAAAATTTACATGCATGTTTTAACTTCTAAACATTAAAAGCGATATATTTCTAACTTTCTTTAATAGACACGGTGTAACACGGGCACCGACACGGTGCAACACGGAGGGTATAATGGACGAGCTTCCTGGACACGGAGGGACACGGTGGACTTCTTGTATATTGAGAATATACACACACCGTGGCACACCGTGTACACGGTGTAACACAGAGCATTTCACGCGGTGTTTCTTCCACCGGGCGTTGCGGAAAACTCGTGAGCTGTACTGTATCTCCCATGCTGGGTCAACGATGCGTTTGAAAACTATATTTAGACTGACTGTACCAAGATTCCAATTTTTAATCAAAAAGTTCAAGGGCAAGGCGACAATTTAATAAGTAGATTTTTATTTTAAATTATTCATTTTACTGTATAGTTTTCAAAAAGTGATGCTCATTTCTTTGTAATCCTTTAGGTATTTTATAATTTCCGATGATATTAGGAAAATACCCTATTTTTCATATACTACTGACTGTTTTAGGTGAATAACTTCAATGTATCGGAAAACCAACTGAATGAGCATCACTTTTGTGAAAGTATAGATACCTAGGGACAATTTAAAACATTGTGAAGTTATTTGTTTGTTTGCCTTGCCCTTGAACTTTTTGGTTAAATTTAACATTTCATTTGTTGACCTAAAATCGGAGCCCACGTGACTTTAGAGGGTCACATGATCAAAAAAAAATCCGAGGTGAATAGCAATGGACATACTCTTCAAGATAACATTAAGCTATTTTAACTAGAGTGTCTTGCTGAAAAATAAATTAAATAGTTAAACATTAATTATATCGTTTTCGGTGACTTTTTATAGAAAATGTTGCCTTAACTGTACTGCGTTTTTTTTACCAACTGCAAATACTTGTAGCAATTAATTAAAATTACCAAGACCAACTGCAGACTTGCCATTGCCATCAGACACAGACCTATTCAAACTCTATGACTATGCATTTTTTAACACATATTTTGGATTATATTAAAGAACAAGAGGCCCATGGGCCAGATCGCTCACCTGAGCACCCTGGCTGGGAAAAAGTAAATCTTTTAGTTCTGATCTGGTTTGTGCTTTTGCCTAGCCGATTTACTCAGGTAAGCGATGTGGCCCCTGGGCCTCTTGTATTTATTTTATTGTCTTATTTTTTTGTGTGCGTCAATCTTCATTTTTTTTGTTTGTGTTTCATTTTTGCACAGCATTTATGGTAAGAATTTAGTATACACTCACTTTTGTGAATATTTATATAATCTTTCTGTGACGTAATCCACCATCTTGCTTTCTTACCTTCATCTGACCACTCGATATCATGACAGAGTCAAAACTTAGGAATTTTTTAAACCTGCCTGCACCAGAACCATCTGGGGAAAACATTTTCCAGGCTGTAGTCCTCTCTGACAGTAGAGGAAAATGGATCCAAGGAGCAATCACCAACAAGTGTGATATAATTTGGTTTTCAAAAAGTGATGCTCAGATTACTGTGTGGCTTAAATCAAGCATTGGTAACAAAATCAGAATATACGGCAATATGTGTGGCTAGGTACGTACAATTAAACCAGCAGGAACAATAAATACATAAATCTAAACCAAAATAAAAATTAAGTCCTAGAAAATATACATCATTAACATCATGAATATTATCCAGGCTCCAAAGTCACCATCTTGAAGTACCACCATATTCAATAAAAGCCTAGAGTACAGCTAAAGGACACCAGAACTCTCAACTTTTTAAAAGATTAATTAACTAATTAAATCATAACAATTAAAAAATTCAAAAAGAACTTAATGTATAAGTGTTCGTGAATGAGTGTATTCTTTTAGTTCACAGGTCACCTTCTACTTAATTGTTCTTCTTGTTATTATATTCGTCATCAAAAGAAAGTAATTGAAATACAGAGATACCGAAAGAACCCACTAGCCGTGTTATTGATATTTCATGGAGTTTCATATATTGCGGCTCTGTCACATACATTTTTTAATGGCTCTGGAGATTCATATTCTAAAGTAACCAAATACAATTCGAGTAAATTTGAGTGAAGACAAGCGGCATTGCTTTTGAAAGATTTTTATGGTGTTTTTGTTTTAACATATACCAACAATATTTAATTTAGTATTTAAAGATTAAATTTCGTATTTTAGGTAATTAACAAGGGCATATCGGATCACTGTCATTCAAAATATAAATTTGCAAGGGGATGGGATATTTTTCACTCAGAAAATCACTGATCAACGACGGAGACAATGTTCTGATATATAGACAAATTTATTATTATTATGATGTGTGTTGTGATCTAAACTTACCACTGAAAAAGAAAGCACTATCGATCTTCGATGTGTTTAGTCCCACTTCAAGAAAGTTGATATCGATCAGGATATTCTGAAGGAATCAGAAAAGCGCGATGAGAAACTGGAGGAAATTGAAATTTCTAACGTAGCGAATAACAATCAGGAGAAGCAAGAAATCCAAAGCACACCGGTTCAACAAAGTCCATTACCTTCCGTCCAAATCCGTTACAAAAGACCTTTGCTTTCAGTGAAAATGCCCGGATACTTAAAGAACTATATACTTTCTTGTGTCTATGTGTAAAATGATTCCATATTAATTTGTAACTTTATTCTTTTTGTAGCAAAAAATGCTTCATTGTAGTAACAATTATTATAGCAAATTAAGCTACATCTCTGTCCATTGATTGCAAAATGTAAAGAAATATAAATAAGCCAAATTCATATGAATTTGAATGTTTTAATTCTCTACTTCAAAGAAATGTGATGTAATATCCGGAAATTTATAATCCTTTGTTTTCTCAACTTTCTGTTCTGTATTGTAGTTTACTTCCGTTCTATATATAAAGTTGTGCATTGAACAAACATGGGTTACCATTTATGAACTCGGAATCAACAGTAATTATTAGAACATTACACAAACGTCTTTTTTGTTTAAGATAACTTGTTTGCTAGTTCTTATGGTGGGTTAATTTGCAATTAAAAATTAAATGTTTTGTTTTCTTAAAAATATGGGGAGGGGGTGTAAAACAGATTAGAGAGACAACTGCTTTTTTTAAAAACAAAAAAAAACTAGGGGTCTGAAAACAATGTTAACCTATATAATGGATACCTTACAAATAAAATCAAAAACTGGGGAAAATGTTGGGGAAGTGACAAAATCAATAAGAGGGGAAATGGGCGAGGGGGGGGGGGGGTTACAACTAATATTACTATGCACAGAATAAATCAATCTCAGCCTTATAATGGGACTTACTGCTAATGCATTGGTAGCTCTGTTTATGTTAATGAAACAGTATTCAAACCTTAATGAGGTTCATTAAGGCGAACTGAATAGCAGCACTTTTCATGGCACAAATCTTTATCGGCATATTATTTCAAATAGTGATGTTAGTGGTTATTTAGTAATTCTAGGGGAGGTAACGAATAAAACAGACGGATTCCTATATACCCCCAAACCATCAAATCAAGTGAAATAAAAAGAAGAGGCCCAGGGGCCACATCGCTCACCTGAGCAATATTGGCTATGAAAAAGCACATATCAGATCAGAATTGAAAGTTTACTTGGGTGGGGGGGCTTGAATTTTAACCCCCAGGGGGCATGATTTGAACAAACTAGAATCTACACTACCTGAGGATGATTCCCTATAAATATCACTATAAACATGACTTTGAAGTACTTGAAAAGAAGATATAAATATATTAAATATATAAAATATTTTAATGTACATGTAATTAAACCTTTATTTCCTGAGAAAAAAAAATTTATTTTTTTCCTATAATTAAATTAGGAACGCCGAAAGGAAAAATGAGGGGAGAAATAAAAATCCAATTCTGAGGGAAATGTTAGGAAAATCTGTAAAAGACTAACCACAGGAAATTCGGAAGCAGCCACAACAACAATCTAAACAGAAAGATTCATCAAAGAACTTTTCGGAATTCCAAATGTTTTGGCACGACTTACAAAATGAACTTGATGAGAAGAATTTCGAGTCTAGGTATGTGTATCAAAATCTTGAATTTTATAAGCAATATAGAAATAGTTATCTATATATAATCATTTTTATCATAAATAAATATGCGTATATCATTAAGCATAAAAGTATATATGTATATATCATGTAGGTATTGTTAAGAAAAGTGTAATGAAACAAAATCAGTACAGGATGTAGACTATCTTCACTAGTGATATAAATTGCAGAACCTTAAAACTATAATTCATCTGAATAAAATACATGTAGTAACAAAAATAAATACATTTTTTTTATATTGTTTAAATTTTCAGTAACTCTCAACCACAACTCTTTCCTAGCCTCGACTTCCAAGACTAAGAGGACGAAAGCGTGCTTTTCCAAAAATACTTAACACCTACAGTTACTGAGGGTACGTCAACAGCCCCAACTCTAAAACGGGGGAACTCAGTACCAAATGGTGCCCCTAAAAAGATATCTACCCAGCATTTTCCCCAATATCACCCCCAAAGAGAACGGATGCTGCTTTCACGGACTCTTCAGCCACGGAGACTGTGGCTGCTACCTGTATCAGGTCCCCAACACAAGGAAGCCAGGTAACACTCAGGGATGTGGAGGACTCAATTTTGACAGAATCAAGGTGAACATTTAAGCCGTATTTTTTCTCATAAATTGAACCAATTTTTTATTTAAGTGTCTTTTTTGGTGACAAGTATTTTTTAGATTAATTATTTATATTAAATGTTAACTTCACTATCATCATACATCAATATTAAAAAAGAAACTTTTCATGTGTTGTAGAAGACGTCATAAGCTAAATCGTAAAATGACGCAGAGATCATCGTATCCTACCTACCCCCTTCTAGAGGAGCTGCGAACTTTAAGATCGCTCAAGGATGCCATGGATGCTAATGTGCAGCAAAAAATATTGATTAATTTCATGGAGGACTATTTTAGAAGGCGAATAGTGCAATTTGTATACGTTTAATATTCTTGCTTTGTGTAGGACAGCATGAGACTATCACTGCAGTATATAGAACCACTTCTAACCTTCATAAATGTGTTAATTCAAGTTACCTAAGCTCCAGTTACAGAGTGCTGTGACATAGACGAAAATCAGTTTTAGACGAGTTTAACCAGTGATCTGTAACACTTATGTAGAGGAAGACTCGTTGTGTAGAGGAATACTCGTTTAAAAAGATTCAGTGTGGATGTAAATTGTTCACTAAAATCAATCTTTTTCTTTATCAAAAAGATACCATTTTAGAAAAGACAAGCACTTTTGAGCAATTTTAGACATATTCCGTGGAAGTGGGAGCAGCTTCCGGGAGAATAAAGGAAAAGGATGATGCTGTACTTAACCACTTCTGTCCTCCAGTTAAAGAAGAGATCACATGTACCAGAAACAGTGAACCCTTTCAAAAATCTTACTCTTCTTTCAAGGGAAGCCAACCTTTGCCTGTGCCTTCTAAATCAAGAATGTCAAAATTGAGGTCAAAAATCTTGAGCATTTATGAAGTTATAAAATACATGATTATAGCTGTCAAGATAAGGTTCGCCTAAAAGAGTTTTATAACAAGCTTCAAAATACGGCAGAGACTCCCAGAGACGTTTCATGTGGTAAAGATGAGTTTCTAGTTGATAATGAGAAGGACCTGACCCACATAGGCACTCCAAAAGCAAGGAGATTATCTCGTTCCACGAGAAGAAGATAAGGTACAGGTAGACATGGTTTAGCAGCTGACAGGTTAAAGACACATTCTTCAAAAGACATTGGAGATTAATTGAAGAAAGAGAGAGTGGTATGTTTATGTTCATATTTTAAATCCAAAAAATGTTGCATGTATTTTGTGTCATTGCAAAATTTAGTGATGATTTCCTTCTATTGATAATTGATGTGCATTTTTTAGTTTTTTCCTTATTTACAGACAAGTGCAAAGTTATTGAAGAAGAAGTGGTCACTGTAGATGACAATGATCAATGTGTATTAAAAACATGTAAGATATATTTTTGTTGACATTATTTACATTATGTATGCTACAGATTTGAATAAAATATTTTTTTTAAATTCCTTATTAGTCCAATGTTAGTCAAAAAAAAAAAAATCTTAAACAATATTGATTCACTACTGTAAGTGTTTGAATATAATACCTCGCTGATGTTAGGGCTTGGTTCATTTAATCATATTTCTATGCTATGCAACTTTCAGTTTCCGCTGTAAAAGGCATTTTGCAGAAAGAAGGTGAAAGCAATTCATCAGTCAAGAAAAGTGTTCTTTATTCTGATACATGCTCTTCATATCCACAAGAAAACATTAAACAATATTGTAGCCATGTT